GGGTGGCACCTCGTGTCCCGCGGGCACCGCCGCAGCGGCAGCGCTGCGCCACGGGCACGACGGGACGGCAGCGAAGCAGGGGGCTGCAGCAGCAGCGCCTGCGGGGGGCATGCAGCATGGATGCCAGGGCCGAGTGCATGGGCACACGGCAGCACCCCGGGCCCTGCAGTGCCCGCAGCAGGGTGCATGGGGCAAGTGCATGGCAGCCTCACCGCATCCGAGGGCACTGCAGGTTCCCCGTGCACCCTGGGCCCTGCAGCGCCCGCAGCACGGTGCATGGGGCAAGCACGCAGGGCGCGCGGGAGCCTCACCACATCCGAGGGCAGCACGGGCTCCCCATGCACCCCAGGCCACACAGCGCCCGCAGCAGGGTGCATGGGGCAAGCACACAGGGTGCACGGGAGCCTCACCGCATCCGAGGGCAGCGCGGGCTGCCCGTGCACCCTGGGCCCTGCAGCGCCCGCAGCACGGTGCATGGGGCAAGTGCATGGGAGCTCACCGCATTTGAGGGCACTGCAGGCTCCCCGTGCACCCTGCGCTCTGCAGTGCCCGCAGTATGGTGCATGGGGCAAGCACGCAGGGTGCACGGGAACCTCACCGCATCCGAGGGCACTGCAGGCTCCCCCTGCACCCTGGGCCCTGCAGCGCCCACAGCAGGGTGCATGGGGCAAGCACACAGGGTGCACGGGAGCCTCACCGCATCCGAGGGCAGCGCGGGCTGCCCGTGCACCCTGGGCCCTGCAGCACCCGCAGCAGGGTGCATGGGGCAAGTGCATGGAAGCTCACCGCATTTGAGGGCAACACGGGCTGCCCGTGCACCCCGGGCCCTGCAGCGCCCGCAGCATGGTGCATGGGGCAAGTGCACGGGAGCTCACCGCGTCCGAGGGCACCGCGGGCTGCCCATGCACCCCAGGCCACGCAGCGCCCACAGCAGGGTGCATGGGGCAAGCACACGGGGTGCACAGGAGCCTCACCGCATCCGAGGGCACTGCAGGCTGCCCGTGCACCCTGGGCCCTGCAGCGCCCGCAGCAGGGTGCATGGGGCAAGTGCATGGGAGCCTCACCGCATCCGAGGGCACTGCAGGCTCCCCGTGCACCCCGGGCCCTGCAGCGCCCGCAGCAGGGTGCATGGGGCAAGTGCACGGGAGCTCACCGCATCCGAGGGCACCGCGGGCTCCCCGTGCGCCCCAGGCCCTGCAGCGCCCGCAGCACGGTGCATGGGGCAAGCGCGCGGGATCCTCACCGTGTCCGAGGGCAGCGCGCACTGGCGCACGAGGTACTCGAGCAGGGCCTCGCCGCCGGGCTGCTCCAGGTAGCCGTGGGG